GCAAACAGTGATACTTTGACTTCTTCCTTACCAATCTGGATGCCTTTTATTTCTTTGTGCTGACTGCCATTGCTAGGACCTCCAGTACTACGTTGAATGAAAGTGGGGAAAGTGGGCATCCTTGTCTTGTTCCCGATCTTAAAGGAAAAGCTTTCAGCTTTTCACTGTTAAGTATGATGTTGGCTGTGGGTTTGTCATATATGGCCTTTATTATGTTGAGGTACTTGACCTCTATACACATTTTGTTGAGAGCTTTTATCATGAATGGGTGTTGAATATTGTCAGATGCTTTTTCAGCATCTATGGAGATGATCACGTGATTTTTGTCATTCTTTTCGTTGATGTGATGGATGACATTGATGGATTTCCAAATATTGTTCCATCTTTGCATTCCTGGAATAAATCCTTCTTGATCATGATGGATGATTGTTTTGATGTATTTTTGAATTCAGTTTGCTAATATTTCATTGAGTATATTTTGCATCTATGTTCATCAGGGATATTGGTCTGTAATTTCCATTTTTTGTGGTGTCTTTGCTTAGTTTTGATATTAGACTGATGCTGGCTTCACAGAATGAGTTTGGAAGTATTCCTTCCTCTTCTATTTCTTTGAAAACTTTAAGGAGGATAGGTATTAGATCTTTCCGAAATGTCTGGTAAAACTCAGTGGTGAAGCTATCTAGTTCAGTTTGTTCTTAGATAGTTTTTTGATTATCAATTCAATTTCATTGCTGGTAATTGGTCTGTCCAGATTTTGTTTCTTCTTGCATCAGTCTTGGAACATTGTATTTTTCTAGAAAGTTGTCCATTTTTCTAGATTTTCCAATTTGTTAGCATGTAATTTTTCATAGTATTCTCTAATAATTCTTTGTATTTCTGTGCTGTCCCTAGTTATTTTTCCTTTCTCTTTTCTGATTCTGTTTATGTGTATAGACCCTCTTTTTTCTTGATAAGTCTGGCTAGCAGTTCATTTATTTTGTTTATTTTCTCAAAGAACCAGCTCTTGGTTTCATTAATTCTTTCTATTGTTTTATTCTTCTCAATTTTATTTATTTCTTCTCTGCTATTTATGATGTCCCTCCTTGTACTGACTTTGGGCCTCATTTGTTCTTCTTTTTCTAGTTTCCTTAATTGTGAGTTTAGACTGTTCATTTGGCATTGTTGTTCTTTCTTGAGATAGGCCTGTATTGATATATGCCTTTCTCTTAGAACTGCCTTGGCTGTGTACGACAGAAGTTGGGGTGTTGAGCTGTTATTTTCATTTGTCTCAATATATTGCTTGAGGTGCTTTAATTTGGTCATGGATCCACTGATTATTTAGGAGCACATTGTTAAGCCTCCATGTGCTTGTGAGGCTTTTTGTTTTCTTCGCATAATTTATCTAGTTTCTTATCTTTGTGGTCTGAGAAGTTGGCTGGTACAATTTCAATCTTTTTAATTAACTGAGGCTCTTTTTGTGGCCTAGTATGTGATCTATTCTGGAAAATATTCCATGTGCACTTGAGAAGAATGTGAATACTGTTACTTTCGGGTGGAGTGTTCTGTAGATGTCTGTTAGGTCTATCTGTCCAATATGCTGTTCAGTGCCTCTGTCTCCTTACTTATTTTCTGTCTGGTTGATCTGTCTTTTGGAGTAGAGTGTTGAAGTCTCCTAAAATGAATGCATTGCATTCTATTTCCCCCTTTATTTCTATTAGTATTTGTTGCACATACTTGGGTGCTCCTATGTTGGCTGCATAGATATTTATAATGGTTATATCCTCTTGTTGGACTGACCCCTTTACCAATGTCCTTTGTCTCTTGTTACTTTCTTTGTTTTGAAGTCTATTTTTTCTGATACAAGTATTGCAACTCCTGTTTTTTTCTCCCTATTGTTTGCATGAAATATCTACCATCCCTTCACTTTTACAGTCTGTGTATGTCTTTGGGTTTGAAGTGAGTCTCTTGTAGGCATCATATAGATGGGTCTTGCTTTTTTATACAATCTGTAACATCCGTAGCTCTATGTCTTTTGATTGGTGCATTCAGACCACTTACATTTAAGGTGATTATCAAAAGATAAGTACTTACTGCCATTGCAGGCTTTGGATTCGTCATTACCAAAGTTTCAAGTGCAGCTTCTTTATTATCTAACAGTCTAATTTAACTCGCTTATTATGCTATTACAGTCTAAAGATTCTATTATTTCTCCCTTATTTTTCTTCTTCCTTCATTCTTTATATGTTAGGTGTCATTTTCTGTACTCTTTGTATATCCCTTGACTGACTTTGTGGGTAGCTGATTTAATTTTGTATTTCCTTAGTAATTGATTGGTCTACTTCCTTTCCTGTGGTTTTATTTTCTGTGGTGACCACTAGCCTTAGGAGCTCTTCCATCTAGAGCAGTCCCTTTAAAATACACTGTAGAGATGGTTTGTGGGAGGTAAATTACCTCAACTTTTGCTTATCTGGAAATTGTTTAATCCCTCCTTCAAATTTAAATGATAATCTTGCCAGATAAAGTATTCTTGGTTTGAGGCCTTTCTGTTTCATTGCATCAAATGTATCATGCCTTTCCCTTCTGGCTTATAAGGTTTCTGCTGAGAAGTCTGATGATGATAGCCTGATGGGTTTTCCTTTGTAGGTGATCTTTTTTCTCTCTGGCTGCTTTTAATACTCTGTCATTGTCCTTGATCTTTGCCATTTTAATTATTATATGTCTTGGTGTTGTCTTCCTTGGGTCCCTTGTGTTGGGAGATCTGTGCACCTCCATGGCCTGCAAGACTATTTACTTCCCCAGACTGGGGAAGTTTTCAGCAATTATTTCTTTGAAGACATTTTCTATTCCTTTTTCTCTTTCTTCTTCTGGCACCCCAATAATGCAAATATTGTTCCATTTGGGTTAGTCAAAGAGTTGTCTTATTATTCTTTCATTCTTAGAGATCCTTTTTCTCTCTGTGCCTCAGCTTCTTTGTGTTTCTATTCTCTAATTTCTATTCCATTTACCATCTCCTGTACCTCTTCTAGTCTGCTTTTAAATTCCTCCATTGTATGTTTCATTTCAGATACTGTATTTTTCAAAGTTGCTATCTCTTTCTTCAATTCATCCCTGAGGTCTTGAATATTTTTCTGTAGCTTCATTAGCATGCTTATGATTTTTATTTTGAAATCTTTATCAGGAAGATTGGTAATTTCAGTTTCACTTATCCTTCTTTTCAGTGTTTGAGGGATTTTGGATTGAACAAGCTTCTGTCTTTTCAGAATCCTATGGGTTAATGTGGAATAATAGCTCTGTGTAGGCATCGCCCTCTAGTGCCTGACAGGAGGAAAGAGCTCTTTCCTGCTTCCCCGCTGCAATGTCTGACTCCACTGTCAGGGCCAGTAAGCCGAACGCACAAGGACCAGCCTCTTGGATATGCCCCTGTAGCTGCTGTAGGCAGGGCTGCCCTCTGGCTGGCCTGGCACAATGTCAAGGGCAGTAGGTTTGCAAGCCAGTGCAAGCTGAGAGGAAGAAGCGGCAGGCTGTGTGACATGGTGGGGGGACTTTGGGGCTGTGTTGCCAGCTGGGGGATGGAACGCCTGAAGCTCCCAAAAGTTCCCAACGTGCTGAGCTGAATGCACCGGAACAATTTTGTCCACCTGTCCTTTCTCCTGAGCAGCAAACTCTGTGTAATCCTTGCCCCTGTAGCAACCCTCACTGTTGGGAAGTCTTTCAACCCACCTTTCTTTTGTCCCAGAGCAGCCGGTTGTGGGTACCTGTTCTCCACCAGTGGCTGTAATCTCAGTCTCTCTGAGTATTCTGCCTGTCTTTATATTACAACCTCTTTAATCTCCATATCACTATGCAATATGGGTTCATGCTCCTGGAGTAGATCTCCAGGGTTGGGTATTTAGCAGTCCTGGGCTTCTACTCCCTCCCTGCTCTGTTTCTCTTGCTCCCACCGGTGAGCTGGGGTCGGGGGAGGGCTTGGGTACTGCTGGGTAACAGCTTTGTTACTTTCCCCTTTCCTTTGAGATCTTCTCTTTTGCCCAGATGTAGGCCATCTGACGTAGTCTTCCTTCTGGTCACTCTTTAAGGATTAGTTGTATTTGCTGTATTTTCCTATTATATGTGCTTTTGGGAGGAGATTTCTGCCTCACTTCTCACACCGCCACCTTTTTTCCCCTCTGACATTGTGTTTATTTTAATCTAATCTGTTTTTGTATATTTTACATAAGCAAAGACTTACCCTCGAAATTCACTTGGAGGAAGCCTATACAATATGATCCCATTTTAAAATATTTCATGTACAAGTGAAAGAGTATGTGTGCAAGTATGAAAAAGAAACATTTGTATATGTATCAGAATATTAATAGAGGTTGTATCTGAGTGGTGAAACTACAGGTGATTTTAATTTTTTTTCTTTCTTTATACTGTTCAGTATGTTCTAAATGTTTATAATAAATACATTTTTGGATTTCTGCCCCTTCTTGTTACAAAATTTGCACATTAAAAAAAAGCTTACACTAGTACTTTAGGTACTTGTGTTAACCTTTTCCATCCTTTTTCCCTCTCCATTTATGTGAAAAAATAAATTCAGACCTCATACCACTACTAATAATTCTGCTGCAGTAATGAAAAAAGCAACAAAGTTATCTACAGAGGGGAATTTATAAGAGGGACCTAACCTAACCATCTGCCAGAACTAACTCAGATCACAAAAATGAAGGCTTTAATTGTATGAATACTGAGCAATACACAAAAATCAGATCATAGAAAGAAGTTGTTTATGGAATATATTAGGGCAAGAACTGCTAAAACTTTCTCCTTTCAGACCTTTGCCCTTAGTGTATGCACACACACATTCTCCTTTAAAGAGTTTACCTAAAATTCCTTAATCTATTTTTTGTAAATAATGACAGTATTTTTGAAAGACAACTATGTTATTATGTAAATTTCTCAGATTCAGTCCCATTATCACCTTGCAATTTTTACTAAATCCAAGTACAGCCAGTTTTTTACATTACAGGCAGAGTTCTCACTTGGTATGATTCTGATATGCACGAATTTCAGTTATCATGGTTTCTACCAAGGTTTAGTTAACTGACTCCAGGCCCCAACAACATGTATCAAATTTCAGTTGCCATTATATTAATTGTAATTACATAAAGTACAAACTTTGCTGCTAGCTCTTCAGTCTACAAATCATCACATAAATAACAGATGAACATCCCTAATATAAGTTGGTCTCAGGGATGGCAGTGCAGCATGGAGAATACAGCCAATGGTTCTGTAAACATCTTCCTATATTGACAGATAGTAACCGCACTAGCTGGGGTGAGGATTTAGAAATGTGTGTAACTGTTGAACCACTGTGTTGTATACCTGAAACCAATGTAAGACTGTATATCAGCTATACTTCAATAATAAAAAAAGTAGTAACAGATGAACATCATCATCTGTGACCAGTCATGTCCATTCTTTCAGTCTGTTAGCTACTGGTCACTGCACAGCAAGCAGCCACCAGTGCAGTCCTGTTGCCTCCTTGACACTTAATGGTAAGTCCACATACATTGTACACATGGATAATCCAGAAAGTGGACTAACCAAAAAAGATGAAAGTGCAGCGAAGTAACAAGAACAAAAAAGACAATGCTGGAAGTGAAATTCAAATCTAGTGTAAGCGGAGTTACAAAAGAAAGAGCCGGCCAGGGCACTGCTGACACTATCACTGTGAACCCCTCTAGATGTGCAGCCAGAGGAAGTTAGAGAAGGCAAACTTACCAACATCAATGAGGAAAGTGGCTGTGATGAAAAGGATGATAATGTCCCAGAGGAAGTGACTCCAGGAAAATACTTCAAATTAAAGAAACTCTTGGAGATATTTCATGACATTCAAAGTACAAAGAACAAAATATTGAAAGCCATCAAGTCATAGAAAACATGCAAAGGCAAATACTGTTTAAACTACTTGATAAGATTTTTTAACAAAGAAATAAAACAATTCTCAATGTTTCTAATATTTTAAGTTATACTATACTAAATAGCAGTTTTACCATTTCACTATGCATTTACAATTAACAGTAAGAATTACTATTTAACAAAATTTTAAAGCCACAAAACCATTGTAATTTTCCCACTGATTATTCAAATAGCTTGGCACAGGTTCAGCTTGCATGATCATTTTTTCATTTATTATTGTACCGTGAGGACTGCCTATGCCTAAGTCGGTCACCAGTAATAAATGAAAAAGTTCCTTTGCCTCAAAACCTTGAATCTACTTACTCCTATTCACATACAGTTCTGAAGTGTTAATAACTTCCAAACTTTCAACTGATTAGAAAAAGTACCCTAATAAAAAAAGCTGTTAGATAATCACATCAATAGTAGAGACAAATAAAATCCAGTATCACAAGACAAAAATCTATTACATCTATTTATAAAATCTATGAAAAAGACAAAAGCCTAAAGGTTTAAGATTAACACCCCTCTCAACTGACCTGTCATCATCATAAAATAAATGATGTTCATAAAGCTATCTTGTAAGTTATCAAAAAAACAGTATTAAGGAAAAAAACTAAACCATATTCAGCACCCAATTTAAGATAAGGCAAAAGAATCTGCCAGATTCTTTGAAGATGGAGGTGGCATTTTTTGATCTTCCTGAATCCCTACATATCATTGAGCAACCAGGTATCAACACCAAAAACTAAGACATTTACCATATAACTAAATGGTAAATTACCTCCCAACCCCCACCAAGAACCCCAGAATACTACTAGTTTGTGGTGGGAACAAACTACCAAATCTGGTGCTTTAACATCTGTGTGAGAGGCAACTCGGCCTCATTACAGAACTTGGTAACCGGAGAATTCTGAAAGAGCCAGAGAGTACTAGCTAGCAAGTGTAGGGGCCAATTCCAGAACAGCAGCTGCACTCGGAGGAAGCGTGCCTACTCCAGTGGTATATGGGTGGCAAGAGACCCAAGGGAAGGCCTAAAACAGTAAAGAGCTATAGCCCTGTGAACTTTCAAAACTAACTAGCCAGAGCTCCTTTCCAGGACAGGGCTCATAATGAGGAGCAACTGCTGGAAGCGGTATCAAAATTAAGCAGGATTAGGACAAGGAAGAAGCAAAACAGAAGGGCCAGACTAAAGATGGGAGAGGGATCACAGCCAGGAATCCTCAGAAAATGAGCTGCCAGAATTTCAGCATAAGAGGGAGCTCTATAAAGTCATAAAAGTTATCTGAACCAAGATTCCTTCTAAAAATACTGAAAAATTAAATTCATATAAAAGAAACCAAATTATGTAAGTTAAATCCTATACAATGTTACTAAAAGAAAAAAAAGAGGAAATAAGGGATAGAATAACATCTCTACAAGACAGACATAAACAAATCAAAACTAGAATATATTTCAAGTTAGTTTTAAAGTATTAAGAAAATTATACAAAGCATGAAAAAATATGAGCCAAAATTAGACTATGAATCCAAAATGACCAATCCTAAAACATACTCTTAAAGTATTGAGCTTTCAAGAAAAAAACGATGAACATTTAGGATAACAAGTACAAAACTTCATCAATACACTTATTCAGACAGTTGCTCTTTAAAAAGACTTTTACTTTAGAAGCCTTCAGTTGTCAAAATAAAAGTTTTAGGGGTAAAAGAGATTTTTAAAACACCCACCCACATTTTAGTGATCTAGGATACTTAACTATGAAGAATAATCCTTTTATTACCAAAAGGTTACTGGAATTTGACCATACTTACTTACCTAATCTCGCAATTCTTATCTAAACTCTGAAACAGTTGAACACTTTTTTCACAGAATTATCCAACTCCTCTGGTACTTTACAAATGTCGGTCAACTTCACTGAAATTTTTTCTAAGAGACCATCATGTCACATACAATAAAGAATGAAGTCTGAGCCTATGATTAAAGTACTAAATCGACGTTATGGATTCTCTAGGTCTTCACCCTTCATATGCTTGTTTTATCCTCTTTTATTTTGAAAAAAGCTTAAAGTACAGAAAAGTTGAAAATATGGTACAATGAACACCACCCTCCACCTAAATTCAGGAATTAGTAACATTTTGCCAAATTTATCATTTCCAACTATATATATTTCTTCCCCTAAACTACCAAAAAGTAAATTGTAGATATTTAAGTCTCCCAGAAGCTTTTCAGCATGTACCTCCTACAAATGGGGACATTCTCCTACATAATTAACAATACAATGCTCACACACAAGAAACTTAACAACTTAACACTGATAGTATCTACACACAAATTTCCCCAAATGTCACAAATAATGTATTTTATGGTTTAAAAAAAATAAAATTCCAGGGCCCTAGCAAGAACCACACACTTTGCATACACATTGCCATGTTGCTGTTGAAGGGTCCCCAGCAGTAAGATGGCAAACTTCCGGCTTCTCTTCGGGGGTCCTCAGTTCCCGCCGGCGTCACCTGAAGCCCAATCACCTCTCGCCCCCCTCCCAATCCCAGCACCTAGCCAACAGCCACCAGCCCCGTAGAAGTGACACCTCAATCAATTCATGCCCCTTCCTATATAACCCAGCACCTTTCCCTAAAAAAGCGGAACTCTCCGGTGAATTGCTGCTATGTGTCGCTCCTTTCCTTTCAGTTGTCTCCTTTAATCTAGAACTATTTACCTCTTTACCTTTTTTATGGTCTTTTGTAACACTGACATTTTTTAAAAGTGCAGACCAGCTTTTTGTGGAATGCGCAAAAACCAGAATCTACGATTCTGTTTTTTGTTGCCCTACGATTAGATTTCAGATAAACATTTTTGGTAACAATTTTATATTAGTGATGTTATATCATGACTCCTCCTGATGTGATACAATGGTAATAACACAATGTATACAGTGTCATTTGTTCTACTGCTGATACAGACTTTGATCACTTGGTTAACATGACTGTGTGCTTCAAAGAAAAAAAAATCCAATTCAAGTCCTTGCTGTGTATAAAATCCCACAGGGACTTCCCCTTAGAATACAGTTCAATGAAATCCAAAATACTTTCCAAGCCCCTTGAGACCCTGGCCTACTCTTCAGCTTAAAATGCTCTTTAAACTCTCCATAGTCCAACAGAGAAGTATACTTGTCCTCTCTGGCTAAAAAATCCCAGTATGGATGAATCAGTCTCAAACATGTCAACTGGAAAAAAATCAAACATCTCTGAAATCACACTGTAGGCCAATGACAGCTGTCACTGCCATAGTCACAGTTTTGTACAATTTGACAGAAAATCCCCTAAGGGAAAGAGATTCCTGGAGTCCTTAGAGCAGAAACATGACTCAAAGGTTCAGGAAAAGAAATGTAGGTGAGCTTGGCTAAATATCATCTACAATAGACTTGCTGGAGCTTTATGTTAATTATGACACCAAGTATGTCATACCTTTATGTACTCTATGAGTAGCTGAGTAAGATCTCTGGGAAGTGTAATGGCTTGTTATTCCTAGTAGAAATGTTAAGGGCAACCCCTTAACATTTCAGTCAGCAAAAACTTAAAAACCACTTGAAGAAAGATTAAGTTCTGGTTATTACCTGAAAAACTTCCATTGACATCTTCTGGTAAGATCAAGGAAGTGCTATTGTCAAAACTTGCAGAATGAGTTGTCAATGGCCTGGAAAAATATCCAGAAGTAACTAAGTACTCTCAAGAAATGCTGAATCATCAAAATCTTTGATGGCATAGAAGATGTGTAGCAAAACTGGACCTGGACAACTCAAGCCAAAAAAAAGTAATTTAGAAGAGTCAGACTGACTGTGAAGATGGTTTAGAAATACCAAAAACTAATTTATTTGATATATATATAGACACATATCTTTTATCTGTGTAGAAGTGGTATATGGATTCTAAAAAATGTCTAAGTATCTCATAATATATATATATGAATTCTAAGTGCAATTATTGAATATCGGAAACAGACAGTTGTTCACTTTATGTAATAAATGTATAAAACGCCTTTAGGAAATAATGTTGTAACTGAGAGAAATCCAAAAGCAATCAGACATCTCTTGTTGCAATAATATACAATACTAAATATACA